TGGGAGGGGTTCTTTATTTTTGTTATTGTGTTTTGAGTTTGGGGACAGAAGGCCTCCCTCACATAGCCCAGGCTAGCTTTCATTGTAATAGGTATGAGGATGACTTTGAACTCTTGATTTTCATGCCTCCTGAGTGCTAGAATTACAGGCCTGGATGAACACATCTGGTCTTTAGTTTTAATATAAAGCAACCGGTTTGGGGGCCCTTTTTTTCATGCTGAGTGTTCTTTAGTGTTCTGCCTAAAAAATCTTTGCGCTATAGCTTTGGTAGCATGTGCTGGGGTTGGGAGGTTACAGAGAAGAGCAGCATGGCATGTGTAAAGTGCCCCTTTTGACCTTCTACTGTAGTACAGGGGACTTTGTGTGTTTGTGAGTTTGTTGTTTGTTTGCTTGGTTTTTCTGAGACAGGTTTTCTCTGTGTAGCCCAAGCTGTCTTCACAGGCAATCCTCCTGCCTCAGGCTGAGTGCTGAGCTTATAGAAATGTGGTGTGGTGATCAGCCCTCTGTCTTTTTTTTTTTTTCATGTCTTCCATTCATATGTAAATTTACTAACCATCAGGAACTGATTTTGTATATGATTAAGATATGGGTAAAAATTTTCTTTCATATAGCCCCATATATCATAAAATCCAACCTTTCCCTACCATACAGGTAAGACCTTTGCCATAAACCAAGTGATTGTGTTTATATAGGGTTTTTTCCCTGAATTTTCTTATATTCATATCTGTCTAAGATTTTACTGGGGTTGTACAGTATCTGTGAGTTAGTTTGAGCAGAATTAATGAAGTCCTGAGTCTCCACTCCTTGGTCATGTTGTGCCTTTCCATTTAGGACATTTCTCACTTTTGTAAATAATATTTTACAGTTTTTAGGTAGAGATTTCACTAACCTTTCAAGGAAGCAAATTAGGTGAGGAAGCGGTCTTGTCGTTTCTGCTTGTTAGGGATGGCCTGAGAGACACAGTACTAGAGAGTGCACTTTTGAAGTTGGATGGGGAAAGCTGCCACCAGCTTAAGAAAGATAGTGTCAGGGTCTTTTCAAGGTGGGAAAGGTCCCCGTGTCCTCAGACCGGGAAGAAGAGAGCTTGAAGCACAACTGGTTGGTTGGTTGGTTGGTTGGTTGGTTGGTTGGTTGGTTGGTTGGTTGGTTGATTGATTGACTGATTGATGACTGATTGATTGACTGATTGATTGGAAACAGACATGAAGGGGTTGCCTGGAGACTACAGGAAGAAGGAATAAAGAGCACTGTGGGGTCATTTTGAGGCAGGATATTTTGTATGTGGTGTCACCTTACTAACAGTGACAGTTTCCCAGGCTGGTAAACAGGACCATACCATTGTGGGCACTGTGTGCTTGTCCTTAGGCACCAGATCCCACATGTGAATCCTTGAAGCAGTTAGACTTGCCACTTTCATGTAATCCAGTCTGCATTTGGAAATCTTGATTTGTTTTAGCAGAGTATATACTTTCTGTTTTCTCTACTGGAGGTAATGCCCCTATAGCCATTTTCCAGTTGTCCCTCTTCCAGTGTCTGAGTTAGATTAAGGTTTAGTAGAAAGCAGTTCTTCCATACAATCTTTTTTTAAGAGCCACAGTCTCCCATGCATATACCACACACACACACACACACACACACACACACACACACACACACACACACACACACACACACACACACACGGGGGTTGGGGGAACATGCCAGGATTTCACTCACATGAATGCATACATACTACACCCTTAAACTCCAGTGATCCTCTAGCCTCAGTATCCCAAGAAGATAAAACCCCAGGCATGCCCCACCACACCAGTTCTGCCATAATCTGGAAGAGTATGTGAAGAAAGTAGGGTGCTGTGATATGGAACTTCAAGCTCAATTTACAGAAAGATCTGAATGACTCATGAGAACAAACTTAGCAAAAAACTGTCCTGTTCCAGGAGTGTTTCTGGTTATTTTTTGCATGCAAAGATTTCGACATGTACAAAGAAAATTATGTCTAGAGAGAAAGCCATGGAAACATGATACCTACAAATTATGATGAACTACAGAAACCAGCCAAACAACAACCAAAAAAGCCTAGTACCTTTTACTATAGTATTTGTAATAAGGGTTAATCTGACATCCCATAAAACAGAGTGTCTGTCAGCTTCCCTCACTGTAACGTAACAGCTGTGTGAACCTGTCGTCCTACAGAGGGAGGAGGTGTGCTGGGGGCTTCAGGAGTTGCACTCATGATAGTTGCCATATTGCTTTAGGGTCTGTAGCAAGGCCTGGAGCACACAGAAAGAGAAAGATCAGCTGGGAGTCTTGCAGTCCCTTACAAAGGCACACCTCCATGTCCGCAGTAGTGCTCCCATCTGGTACCAAGCCCTTAACCCTTGACTGTGGATTAAACTGTCTAACGCAGGGGCTCTCACCCTTCCTGATGCTGCGGCTCTTCCATGCAGTTCCTCATGCTGTGACCCCAACCATAAAGTTACTTCCGTTGCTACTTCAAAGTGAAATTTTGCTGCTGTTATGAATTGTAATGTAAATATTTTTGGAGCGAGGTTTGTCAACCCCCAGGTTGAGAACTGCTGCTCTAAAACCAAGAACTAAAATAATAATTCCTCCTTTAAGTAGTTTATATCAGGTATTTTGTCCCAGCAATAAGAAAAATCTAATTCAAAGTCCAGTGGACACCATGTTATTAATGTAGAATGCTAGTATGTTTTGACAGTGTCCTTTACTGTCTTAAAAATATCTCTGAGGGTGCTGAGGACAGAACCTGACGGTAGAGTGTTTGCCCAGCATGCATCAGGTCCTGAATTCCATCCCCCAGAACCTCCAAACACAAAATAGATTTTTTTCCTTAGATCTCTTATTTTTACAGATCAGAATGAATTTTAGAGTCAATTACCAAATCCCAAAAAAGGTTTTTGTGATTTGACTTGGAAAACACAGTGTACTGTTAGGTGAAAGTCAGTGAGTTTAGCTCCTGTCCTAAACCTTTTAAAGGTACCCTAAGGCTTAGCATGGTCAAATGGCCCTGAGTTTCCAGGTCACAGTCAGCAGAGGGACGACTGTTAGTCTCTCCTTGCCTGCCACAATGGAGAAGCACATCATTCTAGCTCATTCTTGGCTCAGAACATCTAGAGTCTAATGAACAATGAGGCCATGAGAACGCTATCCTGCCCTTTAATCTGCTTTTTCTGGATGATCTTAACCAGTTTATGACAGTAATTACAATAGTTAACCTTTTTCAGGCATTTTTGGTGCATTGGGCATTACCTTGCCCTTCGGCTGTGATTGTCATTAAATCCTCTAAAGCAGTTCTGAAAATGTTACTGCCACATCCTATAGAAGAGAAGAGTGGTAGAGGGAATGTCGGCCAGTAAATGGTGGCGCTGACACTGGGACCCAGGTGTCCTGTCTGTGTTCTAAACCACTGACACTCAGCTTTTACTTTCCCTCCCTCCTTTCCTGGAATGCTGCCTGGCATTTGAAAATGCCCATTTTGCTGTCTCATTCCTCAGCTAGCACTGTCTCAGTGGTTTCCCTTCTCCTCAGGGAGCCCTACCCTGAGAAGGCTGAGGTGTGCGTGTGCCTCCTCTACCTCCAGGTCCTCCCTCTCTCTCAGCCCTATTAGATTAACATTCCAAGTCACCTCAGAAGATGAAGACAGTCTGTCACTGTGCCATTTCAGACTACAGGATTTCCTTGTAGTTTGCATGAGATTGGGTTGAACTCTAGCTTCACACATGGTCCACCCACAGCCCACTGGAGGACCCAGCATGCTGAATGGGGTTTTGTTTGTTTGTTTGTTTTTTGAGACACGGTTTCTCTGTATTGTTTTTGAGGCTATCCTGGAACTGGCTCTGTAGACCAGGCTGGCCTCGAACTCACAGAGATCCGCCTGCCTCTGCCATGGTTGTCCACTGGACTTTGAATTAGGTTTTTCTTATTGCAGGAACAAAATACCTGATATAAACAACTTAAAGGAGGAATTATTATTTTAGTTCTTGGTTTTAGAGCAGCAGTTCTCAACCTGGGGGTTGACAAACCTCTATCTCCAAAAATATTTACATTACAATTCATAACAGTAGCAAAATTACACTATGAGTGCTGGGATTAAAGGCGTGTGCCACCAATGCCTGGCCACTCTGACTCTTGAGACCCAGATCCTAGCCACCTTTAATGACTCCTCCTCAGACACCCCAGAATAAAGCAATTGTGTGTTTTCTCTCACAGCATGTCCTCATGCCTCTGTGGTGGGTTGTTGACATGCTTACTCTGCCATCAGCCTACAGGGAGTTTCAGGACAAGGACCGGATGCTGTTGTCTTGAAGACACTCAGCATCTGTTGGAGGTGTGGAGAACTGTCCAGAGGGCTCTGAAAAGAGCAGAACGTTGGAAATGATGTGTCTCTTCTGAGCAGTGGCCTATGCTACCTGTCAAAATAATCTCCTCGGCTAACTAAGCGCTCTAAGTGCCCTGCTGAGACACAGCCACGTGTAGCTAAGGGAAGTCTCCCTTGGGCAGGAGACCACATGAAGTTGAGGTCCTCAACCCGTTTGTGCTGTGAGATGGGAATAGTGGACACAGCTGTCTCCATGAAGTCAGCACTGCAAGTTATAGTGGTTGACCTTGAACTTTACACTGGACCTTATTTTCATGGTGAGAGTCTAGGAATTTTTATGGTTTTTTGTTTGTTTGTTTGGTTGGTTGGTTGGTTTTGGTTTTTCAAGACAGGGTTTCTCTGTATAACAGTCTTGGCTGTCCTGGAAGTCTCTTTGTAGACCAGGCTGGCTTCAAACTCACTGAGATCCTCCTACCTCTGCCTGTGCCTCCCAAGTGCTGGGTATGTGCCACCACTGCCTGGCATGAAACCTGTATGTTTTGATCATTCATTTTGTTGCAGGGAGGTAAGCCCTGTTTGTCATTGCTTTCCTGGCAAATCCCTACTGTCAATACAAGAAAGCTGCACCCTGCCTGAACGCTGCCTCTCATTTCCCTTTCAGCTTCAGAGTGAGCTGGAGAAAGTCGAAGGGGACAATGCGGAGCTGCAGGAGTTCGCCAACACCATTCTTCAGCAGATAGCCGATCACTGCCCTGACATCCTTGAGCAAGTTGTCAATGCCCTGGAAGAGTCCTCCTGATGTGCTCCAAGGAAGCTGATCAAGGAGCCAGAAAGGAGAACCTGAGGAGCAGGTGTCTGAGTCACCTCCAGACCAGACCCTGCCAGCTGGAGGCGCGAACCCAGCCCATCTGTGTCTGTCGTCATCCTCTGCCTTCTGCTTTGAATGTTGTCTCTGCACAGATCTCCTTGGTCTCCATGAAGAACTGTGCTTATCATCAGCAGAGAGCTGGGGAGACCGGCACACTGCTCTTCTAGGAACGGGAAGCCAGAAGCCCATCCGGCTCATCTGGAGCCCACGCAGAGCTCTGTGCTTTGAGAGCGTGGTGCTGAAGCTTTGGAATGCGTGCTTTCTCTGCAGAGGGTGGAGAAGGAGGGAGCAGGTGGCCAGGGACAGAGGAAAGCGCTTCTGCTGCGCTGCCCGTGTGTTTACCAGCCCTGCTTGCGGTCATGACCATCGGGCAGAGGCGGGCCTATGCAGCTTCGCTCTCGCCTGCTATGAGTCCTGGCCTGTTCCTGTCTCGCCTGCACTGCTCTCAGCTGACAAGAGGGCAATGTACACAGTGGTCACCCTGCTCACTCTTGTTAAGACCTTCGACCGTCCCACACTTCACTGCTAGGTTAAACGTCTGACCTGAAGAGAAGACGGTTTAGCACGAAGGGCCCTGTTGTCACTGCTTGCAGCTTTGCTCCTCAAGAGAAGATGTCTCATAGGGTCATGCTGATTCCTCCTGAACATCACCCACAATGCTGTCTGCTCCCTCAACCCTGCCCCAAGCTACTGTAGAATAGGGGTTGCTAGAGTATGTGATCCACTGCCCACCTTCTCAGCCTCAGAGTCACAGCCTCATGCCATGCCTAAAAGCTTCTTTTGGAACAACTAAGCTTGTCTTATCTTACACACATTCTTCCCTCTATTCATTCATTCAAAAAATACTATGAAATGCCTGCTGTCTGCACTTAAGTGTTCGAGGCACCCTTCTTTGCGAAGCCTCTGGTAGGGAAAGGTGTGGGGATCATGTAAGGCTCGCCCAGTTGAATCCGTGGTGAAAGCACACCTTCTGCTTCCCAGGCCAGCATCCTTTGTCCCCATTATTGATTCATCAGTGGACTTGAGTTCAGGGTCTTTGCTGTCAGTGCTGTTACCCTGAAAGGTGTTCTGAACCCGTCCGTTTGTGTCAGCTGACTGGTTAACACATGCATACTCACCCCGTGGACTCGGCCAGCGCCATGCTGAAACCAGGTGCAGATGACAGCTGTCATACATAACCAGGCTTTAAGAAAGACAGCGCAGCACTCATCTAGCCCTTTGTTCCCTGATGCAGACACCTGGTGCCCCATCTTCTGACAGGGCTGCATTCCATCCTCTCTGCCCATCCACACTCTCAAAAGAATTTAATGCTACCTGTAAATTCCTCACGGCCCCCAACCTAGGACAGTCACATCCCTGCTTCCCTTCTTCCCTGCCATAAAGTGTTCCCTTGTGAGATGCTGAGGAGTGTTCCCAGGGGGGTTGAATGGACTCTGTCATAAGCCTCACTGAGACACTTTCAGAGATCTCACATGGAGATGTGGCCAGAAATAAGGATTAATGCTGCTCAGTTCTCTCAGTTCTTTTTATCGTCCCCTCCATAGGTCCTGTAGGAGACCCCAGTGTTTCAGGATAGGGAAGTTAGAATCTGAGTTTATGTCCAGATGTAAGGAACCACCACCTAATAACAGCTTCACAGGCTGCTGATGCTGTCCAGCTCTTCTCCAGCTGCTCTGGGAGGGACCTTCTCTCCCCCCCCCCCCAAGCAGGTCTCCTTGGTGTTTGTTAGCAAAGGTTACTGTCTACCACTCATACCTGCTTCCTTCTCTCTACTCTAAAACTTTTCTCCATCAGGTCCCTCCAGAGAGGCTTCAGGAGGCTTCCGGGCCACATGCTTATCCAGAAGGCAAGTTTATAAGACAGACATTGACCTCTGCACCATAACAGGGATTTATTTCCTCCTCTGGTGGTAATCCAGTGACTCAAATGCTTCCAGAGGCTGTGGAGCTAAAGTTGAACCATAGCATGGCCTTTGTGTTAGGGGAAGTTAATAGGTTATCTGGCATTCGGATCTTACTGACTTTATGTCATTCATTAGGCCAATGTTTACTAAATACATAACTGCCTTTGCACTGAGACATGTGATCCCATGACTGTCTTCATGCACAAGACATCTGGCCTTGAGAGCTCACTGAGGGTTGTTAGGACCATCCCCATCACTTCATTCCATTGTCAAACCCCTTTGCACCTAAACACCTCTGCCCCAAATGAAGGTCATCGTGAGAATGACAGTAAGAAATGAGGACTGGAACCCAACCTGGGGCTCCTAGCTAAAGCAGCACCATATGGGCCCTGTGTCCCTAAGTAGGCCTCTGTCCCAGGTCTTCATTGACTGACTGGTGGCACATCTGAATGGGATTAGCAAGGACTTAAAGACCATTAAAGATGGAGAAGTCCCAGTGGCTTCGGCGACTGGAAATGTAGAGGCCGTCCTCCAGTCCCTGTCAGCCTTTTTTCTCATCCATCTTCCTGAGGCCTGGGTGTACCTCTTCCTCACCTGTGGCCTTAGAAACTGTAGGAAAGCAGTGGAACTGCAACCACTGATGACGGTTTTGCAGGTCATGCTGTGGCTGGCCACATCCCATCCATGTGTTTGGCTTCCTGGGAAGAATATGTTGGCTCACTTTCTCCCTCGTGAGAGATGAAGTCAGCGCAGATGGTTCTCACGTGCTACTGTCCTGCCCCTCCACTGTTGACACTGGGATTGGTTTGGCATCACACCCGCCTGTTTGACTGAAGCGCAGGCCCACTGGCCTCCCTCCACGTCTTTGAAGAAGGGCCAAAGCAAGGCTACGTAGACTGTGACACTCACAGGCCTAAGTCCCAGCAGTTGCCATGTCAGCAGGACCAGTAACTCTCAAGCCTGCCTCCCCAGCCTCGCCTCCTGCCTGCCGAACCCAGTGCCCAGGGAAAGGAGCCAGAACGATGAAGCTGCAGCACAGGCCTGGTGGGCGCCGCCGTCACTGCCAGTCTCGGAGCTCTTGACCAGTCAAATGTGTTCCCTCCCGTGAACCACGATAACGTTCAGGGACGAAGAAAACGTGACCTGGGGGCCTTCTGAACAAAATGGCTGTCTGTACTCTTTTTAAACAGAAACTTTCCAAACTTTTTAGTGTCAAAATTGTAACCAAGTGTTTTCTTGATTCTTCCCACTGTGTTTGGCAAGTGCTGTGACCCTATTGTAGGTATTTCTCCTGCCTCTTTTGAGGGAGAATTGATTTTAGGGGTTGATTTTGGGGGAGCGGGTTATCTGTCCCGTCCCGCCACCTCTTGTCTCTCTGCTTGTTGATATTGTCTGTGTGATTCAGAGAATCGGGGCAGTTACATTATGTCCATTGTTGAGAATATTAAAATATTAAAAAGTAGTTATAGAACTGAAAAATTAAAGAGCTGTGTTTTTAAAAATGCAAACCCATAAATAATCATGTTAACAAAGGAATTCAAGCTATGGGCAGCCTAGCTCCTCCCCTCCAGGTTGGTGAGGTGGTAGCCAAGTCAGCCCTTGGGAAACACACTGACCACACTTGAGGTAGGTGACTGCCTGGGAGCAAGAGAAAGGAGAATCTGGGCCTCAAAGCCTCTCAGTTGTGTCAGGTTTTCTATACATCCTCAGGACCTCCGAGTAGAGACTTCAGAGTTGGTGACCCCAGGACCACCCTCGCCCTCACTTTGGATCAAGCCTTGTGTGCCTAGTGCTGTGTGGTAACCTGGGCTTGGGCCTGCTTGCCAGGCCACAGGACCTCTTCCTGCCCACTTGGTGCTATTTCATCGTGACCATCCAACAGGGCAGTCTGGTCTCCAGAGCCTGCAGCCAGTGTGCCATATATGGCCCTCAGAGCCTGGTCCTCTCTGGCTTCAGATCCTAGATTCTTCCCTTTGAAGCTTTTTAGACCCAGACCCCCTTGGCTCCAGAAATACCAGAGTCAAGAAAGGAATTGAGCCAGGCTGAGGCAGGGAGATCCACCCCTGTGCCACAGTGAGCACAGCAGCCCAGCCCCCTTCCCTGCCACACCAGTATTACATCCGTCCTTTAAAGCATCTGGTCCCGCCTGAGGCTCATGCCATCCACTGGGCCAGCTGCCCAGTACAGACCAGAAAGCTGCCTTGCACAGCAGGCTGTCCCACGATGGGGACTTAGCTTTATTCTGTACCCCTACTTAAGAAGAGGCATGTTGCACTTTAGTGGGGAGCCCAGAACACTGGGCACTAACTTCCTGTAGCTTGAGTCTCTATAGATAGCAGTGGTGGCAGCCTGATTGCTCGTGTGAAACAGCTGTAGCTGCTGTCCTCAACTGTGCACATGCGTGCAGTTACTAGCGTCGAATTGCCGGCCTGATGATGACATTACAAAGACATTGTGTTCTGTTCAACTTTGCCTTGGTAATTATTGTAAACACTTTGTTCGAGTTTTTTTCTTTTTTATTCATGAACTAAATCCATCAGGAAATTATAAACTTATTTAAAAACTGTGTGCTGCAGCCTTCTTTAGTCTCTGCCAGCCTGGTCACACCCCTGTGATGAGACTGGTTACAGTCTGGAAAAGCAGGGGACCAGCAATTCCCAGGAGGCCATCTCCAGTGGCAGACTAGAGTCTGTACACCCAGGTTCAGGAAGATTCACAGCAGACTGGCCTGCTGATGCAGGACTGGTCCCAACAGGAAACTCTTAGATTCCCACTCAGCCCATTTCCAACCCCCTTTTCCTTTGCACCTGTCCACTTCAGACCTGACTACATTATGAAAGTGTCCATCACCCAGGAGGAGTAGAATAGTTTACACCAAGATGGTAGAGGAATCGGTGTGGCCAGAACTGGGATTCTCACTTCCGGGCTGTGATCTGATGTCCACTTCAGATGTGGACTGCTCCTGCAAGTGCTTCATGAAGAGTCAAAGAGTCAGGAGACCCATGCATAATTGTGGACGGCAGTGTCTGCTCTGGGACATCCTGAGACCTTGTGCCCATAAGAAGTGTTCTGGGGCATTTTAGAGAGCTCATATCTGATTAACTTCGTGTCTGTGTCTGTCTTAAGAAAGAAGAAGACAGTTATGCTGAGCTTGGCACAGTGGCTCCTGCCCACATCTGCAGTACTCAGGGGTCTGAGGAGGGAAGGTTCAGAGGAGACCAGCCTGTCTCACAGACTAAAGCCTCTGCTCTCTCTCCTGTAGAAAATGTGGCGCTTGGCTGGGTTAGTTGGTCAAATCGTGCAATGAGAGAATCAAGCATTTTCAGATCCTTTTCCTGGCAGCGCAGCTGTGCAGACATATGCCAGGCAAAGGAGTACCTGGCCCTGTTCGCCAACTGAGGAACAGTGCTGCACCTGGTTGCATCCTGAGAAGTAGGGACAATGTGACTAGCAGAGTGAATGTCTGCTGCACAGCGTGAAGCCACAGACACCAGCAGACCACACGTCAGCAATTTCCAGGGTTTCCCATTCTTTTAAACTAACTTACTCTGTTGTCAACCAGTACTCAGCTACAGAGGATCTCAAGCTTGCATATGGTGCACATAAACCCATGCGGGTGCACGCAGTCTTTTTTTAAAATGGCAATACTAAGGATATTATTAATGAGGATAAAGCATAATCATGCTTTCCTTAATGGAAGCCCCCTGGAAGAACATGCATGTCTGTGAGCTGTTTTAAATGACCCAGCTGTGTGCTGGAGAGCACAAGGAGCAGGTCATAGCTGCAAAGAGATTGGCTGGAGAGTGGGTGCTTGAGGCTGGGTATCAGCCCTCAAGGTCTATTGTAAGCCTTGCTCCCTTTTCTGAGGTCTGAGATTCCTTGATCAGCCTCAGGATCACTTATCTCTGCTGTGTTTTCCCAGTCACCACGTACGAGCCTCTTCCCAAGACCATGCATCCCGTTCTAAAATGGCTTCCTGAGTACACAGCCCTCAGCTCACTGCCATAACTCCCATCGGAGACATCTGGGTACAAAGACCAGTACTGTCCTGAATGGGTGGCCATTGCTGGGAAGAGCAACACCTCATCACCAGCTGTCCACTCTGCACAAACTCATAAAATAGGAGCACCTCACCCCTGCAGGGCTGGGAAAAAAGTACAAAAAAAAAAAAAAAGTAAAGAAGTAGACAGCATACCCAGCATGGCAGCCCTGAAAAGCCAGCACCTTGCTGGCCCTGGGGCTGGGGGAAGCTCCCTGGGCCTGGAAGGGAGTAGCTGCTAAGAACAGAACACAAGGTACCTGCACCAAGCAGTGTCTGTCAGCACAGGATCCACTGTCTGGCAGTATTTACCTCTACCTTTTCTGGTAAAGAAGCGAAAATGCAAGCTAAATAGCCCAGAGCTACACAGTCAGCTAGTGAGAGGTCTGGATCACTCCTTTGTCAATGGATTTCCAGGCTTTTCTGGCTCCTTGTAGAGCCCTCGGTACTGTCATAGGGCCAGGGCCAGGGAATGGGATGGTGGCATCGGATTCAGAGGAAACAAAGGATATGTCTGGCCTGCTCACTATCAAGTTGGATATGAGTCACATGGTCTCGTGTTGTTAGGCTTTTGAACACCATTGATTTCCTGGGAATTGGTCAGTTATTCACATAACGTCCTAGTCATCTCAGTCTAAATTTTACCAGTAAGGAATGATGTAGGCTGGTAGCGCCACATCTGGTACACACATCACCCCTTTACTGTGTCATCTTGGGAGTAGACAGTTCCACACAGCACTCGGTGGCTTATAGGATGCCATGGTGTGCTTGTTTGCCCCAAAAGTTCCTGTGTTGGAAACTTCCAAATTTGTGTTGATGGTATTAGAGGTAAGACTTGTGGAAGAAAGTTAGGGTTCGATGAGGTCATGAGGGTGGCACCCCACCATGGGGAAAGGGGACCTAGTGGCACACTACCCCATCACCAATACGGTGTCTTCTGCTGTGTTACCATGTACACTGAAGCCCTACCAGGTGCAAGATGATGTCACCCCCATGCACTCAGATGCCCAGCATCAGAAAGGGACTAAGTCACAGGTGGCATGGGACACCCACAGTCATGAGCCACACCCAGTGCTGGTTCAGCAGCATGCTGACTTTCCCACAAGGCCATGCCTGCAAGGCAGAGCTGTCCCTAAGTGAAAGAGACAAATGGAAACAGAAAAACCTGTCCTATTACGCTGCAAAGAACCAGCCGAAAGCTTGACCATGGAGGCAGGTGCGCACAGAATTAAGATATAGAACAGGTTCCCAGCTGGGCTTTGCTGCTGACTAAGTGTGTGGCCTTGGAGGCATCCCCTAAAGCCTTTGACGTCCAGCCGCGTACTTTTCACAATAGAGATAATGCAGCCCCACACTTCACGTGTTTGTAACATGCAAACAAGAGGATGCAGTCTAGGATATGACGCAGAGGGAGAGCCCTTGCCTAGTGTGTGGTCCATTCCCACAGCATGGGGGAAGGGTGCATGAGAAAGCATCGAGCACATGGTAATGAGAAGGTGAGCTGACACCAATAGTCATTTGTTATATTAAAGTCACTTCCGAGCCTCAGCTGGTTTTGGAAACCCATGAGCAACCCATGGAGGTGCTGACCATGTGTTTTGTCCTTCAGGAAGGGCGCTGCCCTCTGATCAGATCTGCTTCGAGGCCCAGCTCTTGCCATCTGAAATCCCCCAAAGAGAGAAATCAGCTAAAGATGAGAATGCTAAGACCTGGAACAAGAAGTTTCCCAGAGAGGGAAAAGGGTCACCACCATGTATGTCCCAGGCTCCCTCCTGGTGACTATGCAGGATGTGGCCACCAGTTCCTCCCCCAAGGACTTATATGTCAAAAATCATATTGTTTCTGCTTTAGAAAGAAAGAAGCCCAGAGAGCAATGGGCATGCCTTAGCATCTGGGCCCCATTGCTCCCCTTTGTGAGGATGGGCTCCCAAATAGGAACCCTGCCTGGCCTGGCTCTTAGTCACTGTGACAAATGAGACCCAGAGAGCCTGGAACCCATAAGAATTCTTTGGCCAGCCATCACATCATGGAGTCGAGGCCTCAGCGTGCTGACGACCCTCTTGGGACGTTTCTAAGCTCCCTACTCAGACCTAAATGTGCAGAGGACATTTGATGGTGAGGTCTGCCTCGGAGTGAGAGACATCTTGATCTCCACCCTCTCCTTCCAGGACCTGTTTCTTGCCTTTCTTCTCCTGTCTCCTCATTGTTGGCCTCAAGCCCCTGTAAGCAAGGACCGTCCTTTCTCCTGGGTCCTCTGCAGGCCTATACACAAGCCTGAGTTACCAAGCTTCATTGCTTCCCACTAGCTTCTTATCCAGGCTTGTTCCTTCCCACAGTTGGCCGAGTTTTAGCTCCAGCTTCCTGATGTCAGGTGGGAAATCCTGCTCCCCCACCCCCATCCCCAGGCTGTGGCGCTGCCGTTAAGGCTGCTCCAGCAATGAGCCACAGGTGGAGCGTATCTGTCCTGAGAAGCGGCTTGGAGGGAGACAGCTGGGCTCTGACCCTGGCGCTCAGGGTCCAGGGTGAGGCCCCCGCCATCTGGGGCCTCCTCTCCTCCCCTGCTCCTATTCCCTGGTCCTCCCTGCTACCCCCAGGAATTCACACAGGAGTTTCAAGAAGCTGAACCTGCCTTTGTGGGGAGGGAGCACCATCTTGGAATCCAGTGCAGGTAACAGTCCTCATGGGCTCATTTGCTAGCCTGGGAACTTGCCAGCATTCTCCCAAGCATGTGTGCACAGTGCATACGTGTGCGGCCCCGCCTTCACACACGTGCAGCTCTTCCGGACACATACACAATGGCATCGGCCAAGTGAGGGTCTCCATGTTAAGAAGAAAATGAATAAACAATGTCAACATTTTTGTTTCCCTCTGAGACTTGCAAAGAAGGTGTTAAGAGCACAAGATTTAAATCATAAACTTTGTTAAAAGGCAAGCAGCCTAATGCATGACTCTTGCCAACTTGGATAAGCTCCTTGGGGTAATGCTACACTGAGCTAAGGCAGAAGGAATTGTGGGAGGAAAAGGCAGAATGGGAGCAAGCCGCAGAGTCAACCGAGGGCAGACCAGCTGGAGCCCAGAAGGCCTTGATGCCTTTTTCTAGTTTCCCTCCTACAGTTGTCTTGACTGATAGAGTCTCGGTCAGGTCTAAAGGACACACAGCAAGGAAGGGGAGACCTACTTCCGAGAGACCCAGAACAGACCCAAATCACCCAGAACAGACCCAAATCATCACCCATGGGACAATTGCTTAAGGGTCAGGAGAGAGCCAGAGGGTCTTCCAACTGGACCCCTCACCTCCGAAGACTCCCTTCCTCCCTATCCGTCTCCACAGACAAGCTGCCACTTCCGTGGGTGCAGGGATCATGCTCAGCACTGCTCGAGATACAGGGGGCAAATGAGTGGCCTGCTTAGATGGAAATAAAATGAAGACATGCACCTACAGTGATTGTGCCGTTTGGGACAAGGAGGGAATGATCAGAAGAGCTTTGATAGGGACAATAGTCACACTTGCCTCTAACCTAACTCTG